GCTGAGGGATCCCCTCTCCCCCCTGAGTGCACAAATTTTTGTGCACCGGGCCTCTAGTATTTATATAAAAGCCCTGGGTGTAACACAGTGATGGCGAACCTTTTGAGCTCGGCATGTCAGCATTTTGAAAAACCCTAACTTAACTCTGGTGCCGTGTCACATAGAGAAATTTTTTGATATTTGCAACCATAGTAAAACAAAGACTTATATTTTTGATATTTATTTTATATATTTAAATGCCATTTAACAAAGGAAAGTCAACCAAAAAAATGAGTTCGAGTGTCACCTCTGACACGCGTGTCATAGGTTCGCCATCACTGGTGTAACATCACGACCTCAGGTGCGACCAACTGGAAGGAAGTCAGTCCTGCAGGGGTTGTCTTGGAAACGGCTGCACCCTTCCCCAGCTGTTTCCCCAGAGGGCGAGGTTTCAGGTAGGAACTCGCCCTCGGAGTGGAGTGTGGAAGTACTGAGTCCTGGGTTGCCTTGCCAAGGGCTGTGCCCTCCCCGAGCTGTTTCCCGCGAGCCCGAGGGAAGAACCCACCCTCGTAGCGCCAGGAGTGCCCAGCAGCAGTCAGTCCTGGGTTGCTAAGGCGGAGGCCACAGCGTGGTAGAACTCTGGGGCTGGCCTAACAGGGAACGTGGCCAGCCTTCAAACCAGACCCTGACAGGAGGGAGGAGGGAGCCCCATTCCTCATGGAATCGACAGGTGGCCAGCTTGCTGTCAGGGGCCTGCCAGCTAGGAATCCTATTCACCAGCATATCTGTATAAAGTTTTAATACATTATATTAGAGGTCGTGGTGGTACTGTTTTACCCACAGCGTCTACAGGAATTGATGCAAATTTACTTCTTGGTGGAAGCACCTTTCATTCCCAATATAAATGACCAATTCCGTTAAAAGAAACTTCAATTTTTAGACTCGATATAAACAGTGAAGTTGCTAAAACTATTAAAAAGGCCCAACTTCTCATTATTGATGAATGCACCATGGCATCCAGTCATGCTATAAACGCCATAGACAGATTACTAAGAGAAATTATGGATTTGAATGTTGCATTTGGTGGGAAAGTTCTCCTTC